AAAAAATGTCAGGGCCGGATTGCTTCATGCCACACGTGTGGCACTTATCATTTGGTTATCTTTTTGCATTGTTTAGGTCGGTTTGTTCAAGTCATGTATCGCCTATATAATAGGCAGGCTTCGGCCATGTACATGTAAGGAGCAGCGCGCTCGCGCACAAAGGGCCGCCAGCATGAGGGGCTTGGGTCACTTGGAAGGGCCACTGGCGAGAGGACTGGATTGGCCGCCGGCTGTTGCAAGCAGCCTCTGATCCTGGAGGCATCTTGTGGGACTACACAGTAAACAGCAGCAGCGGAGGGCGGCGTGACCTTGAGGGAGACACGATGGCGGCAGCCAGCGCGCAGGTCGGGTTGGAGAGGCAGCGGCTGGTGCCTTGGTCTGGGAGAGAAGTGGCGGCCGGCTGGTGCACGCGCCCCGATAGCCGTCGAGCGTACAGGCCCGGTCTGAAGGGGGATGGAGAGATCGACAGTAAGAATCTACCTGGGTTGAATCAGGGTAGGATGTGAGACCAAAAAAACAGTCGGAGGGGAGAGATTACGATTGATCACTAAAAGGGCAACCTGGTGCATGTAGCTCCCGCTTGCGCAGGGTCCAGGGAAGGGTCCGACCACTTTGGGTCTATAGTACGCAGCCTTTCCCTACATTTCTGTAAGAGGCTGTTTCCAGGACTTGAACCCATGACCTCATGGTCACAAGGCAGCAGCTTTACCACTGCGCCAAGGCTCCCCTTCTACGATTGATCACTGAGACCGGGAAAAAAAATCCGATCATCAGACAAGGTGCAGTGTAGAAGAGGTAATACCTAGACCATAGGCTCAAATACCATGTTATGGATGCAACTTATCTCTATTGCATAGCCCAAAGGACATATATCTATTACACAAGACTTGGCGTACAATGAAGAAAACATAGCCTAATAAGGACTCCTGGACCAATACCGATACTTCATAACAATAATAACATTCTAAGTTTCTAACTATAAATATTCATGTGGTTTGACTTTAATTTGACCATCTTTATTAGGATTCCTGTGTTTTTCTAATTCATGTGAACAAAACACCCAAGCCGACAGAATTCCATTTACCAATCCTCTGTTTTGCACATGCATTTCTATCCCATTCATGCGTTTTTAGAATCATGTGAACCAAAGGAGATATATAAGTTTGACAGGTATAGATCTGAGTAATCATGCTTACCGATAAGAAGAAAGTTTCCAGCACAGGACAAGCTTCGAGAAAGGAAATCAGAGATAAAAAATCAAAGCTTTCAAATTGACTGCTACAACAATAAATCTTCAAGTGCCTCAGCTGGAGGAATTTGGCAGCTGACGCTGGAGTATTGAAGGCCTGAAGAAACATATGCCAAGGTTTGTTATGTCTCAAAGTACAAGTATCATATACATGTAGCTAGTTAGCAATTTAAGTATGGAAGAAATAGATTACAACACAAACCTCTCTAGATGAGCACAAGACAAGTGTGTGAAGATTCGACGTGATGGAATGAAGCTTGGTCAGAGCATGGTGGAACATGCCAGCATAAAATGAACCATCCATAGTCATGATCTTCAGTTGAGACGGGTTGGTGATTGATATTTTCGTCGGCGGCCCACAGAACATAAACGTGGCTACCTTTGGAGCATAAATTTCTACCACCTGCAGCTTTTGGCATAGAAACACCCGCAGGATACAAAGCTGCTGCAGATGAGAAGGTATCTTCAAGAAAGTGATCTCATTGCACTGGGAAACTTCCAACTTTTCTAAAGAAATTGTACAGGAGAAGAAGCATCCTAGTTCCTCCTCAGTAATGAGAACAAGTTTCAGACATAGACTTTTCAAGTTTCTGAAGCAGTCAATTATAATTGTCGGACGAAAAGCACAAGCTGAGGGGGCGAGAGACTGAATTGAGCTTGCGGCACAAGATAAAACCGAACATGGAAAGTCGTACTTCGCACTTTGATCTTGAGGAAGGTCCACAGCAAGTTCTACAATTCCAGACTTAACAGCAGTTTCAAGCCAAATGCCAAGAAGGTTAGCCGTGATAACATTGCTGCATGAATGAACTTGGAGCTTAAGTATCTTCACCCCAATGCCAGAGTGGTTTTTGAGTATGTGGTAGATTCTGTCCACAATTTTCTTTGCTCTATCATATGGCGTGCCCTCTTGCATATTCAACCCCAATGTTTTCCAATTGAATGTAAGGTTAGGAAAGCATTTCCATGAGCGTAAAAATCTACGAGAGACACAGGCAGCACGAGCAGCATCTCGCAGTGGCACAAGGGAGTGTATGTGATGCAAGATATCCTGCAAAAACAACGAGTAGAAAGTTCAAAAAATCTAGTTTATACTTCAGTTGGATTAGACAATAGATAAACAATTAATTAATACATCTTATTAGCGCAAGTACTAGGCTCAGGATGAGACATGAAAGATGTACTATAACAGAGTTCCTTAAAACTGAAAGAGGTACAAGACGGAAAGCATAAATGCCCCCGAACAACCATCCGGTGCAATCTACACAGACAAACAAACAAACAGACAAAAGACCCACAGTAAAAAATACAGCTCGTTTAGCCTTCCTCGCTCTTCACCAAAAAAATGTTCTTAGTCCGTTTTACACGTTCCACTCTTACATAATTACCCAGGTAAATGAGATCTTCTACCATCAATTAGTGCATACTAAATAGATTGTCGGATAAACAGTTGGTTAAATCTTCCACATCATCTATCATACAATATTTTCAGTGGATGTTGGTGAAGTTGTTTCTGGAATTCCATATTTTGCAGATCCAGTGATTACCACCTAAGTAACCGCTACAGGGTAAGTTTCTAATGGTTTGAATGAACGTTTCTCATACACCCCATTAATTCTTGGTCCATTTCTAGAAATACTTGTATTTATACTGGCGAAATGTAGATATCAGTCAACAACTATATTTCAACAATTACATTTCATATGTGTCCTGTGCTTAAGGCAATGGCAAACTGTTAGATGCAAATAGATTATTTCAGAATCAGCACTTCATTTCATACCTCGGGAAATTTATCAAGCTCAATCACTTGTATAGTGTCTTTGGCAACCTCTGGATTGTCATGTTCTTGGCAAGGTGGACACTTCGTTGCAGCTAATGAAAGCCTCGGTCGATGATAATCTACAATAGGACGATATCAAGCAAGTGAGCAGATACCAAAGATGAGCGACTAAATTTCCTCAAATAACTCAAATTTTATGTCAAATACAACTAATAAAACACGGAATGGAAGTTCTTTCGCATGGAAAAAATATTTTGAAGGGCGTGTCTGCTCTCTTCTCTAATTCAAAATTAGAAGCTCTCGCCTCCTGCCGCTCCCCACCACTACCACCGCGGGTCACAGCTGGCCTGTTTTTCAAAGAAAGCAGTGCGGCTTTGGGCTGGTGCTGAAAAGTTCGCTCCAAATTGGTGGTGTGTTCGTCAAAGAAGTTTCAACTGATGGGGTCCAATGGTCGCAGATTGTGGAAGGAGCTATGGACTTGGAAGAGTGATGTGAAATGGAGTCTGTGTGCACCAGGCTTGGACTTGTGCGTGCCTTCCAGATCTGGCGGCAACCACAGAAATGATTGGCACAACCTAGCTGTGCCAAGGGGGCTTTGCAGCGCAGGTTAGTAAGACTGCTCACGTCATTACGCCTTCCGTGCTCCTACAGGGCCTGTTGGAGTTGCTATAGCCCAGAGATCAGGTCACACCAAATCTGGCCTACTCAATGGGGGCTGGAGGTTGTCATACCAGGGTGCTAAACAAAGTGTTCGTGAAAGCCTGGCGGTTACATGCTCGCTTAAAAAAAGATCATTTTTGGGCACACCAACAAAATAAATTTACACACAGGCAAACAAATTATATCTAGTGCACAACCCAATATTTTCACCAAAACAACCGTTTCATTTGTCTATAGATCTACACCAGACATGTGAAAGATGTTTAGTGTAAAGGACTCTTTTTCCTTAAGGATCCTTTGAGATGTTGGTATTGGTAAGGACTAATTGAAGTGGCCTCGAATTCCAGTACTAACTGAATTGGTATTGGTCAGTGATTTCAATGGTAATGGTCGGATGGCTAATGAAACTGTAGAACAGAACCACAACCAAAAGTCCAAAACTGCTACCAAGTGTTGTTACCTTTTTTGGAATGCCGGAATTTGAGACAAGGCTCCCTAAACCATTCGGCAGTTCACTGGTGGAGAATGGCATGAGCCCGTGACCATGGGGGGCAAACACATGGCATGGGCTGTAGTGACATCTGGGATGGACACAGGGGCTGGAGTAGTTGCCGGCTGTGAGGAAGAAGGGGAAGTGGCAGCGTTGGAGGTGGTCGGCGAGGAACCTCCAGCGGCAGATGCAGCTCGTGGGGAATGAGAGCAGGAGGCGGTGGCTGTTGGGAGAACCCCCAGCAGGGGCAGTGATTGGCCAGGACTTGCGGTGTTCGTTGGAGACCGGCAAAGATGCTGGAAGTTCATACGTAAAGCTATAAGACTCGATTCCACCTAATATGGAGAAGGGAGGCTCTGATTTCGGAAGCCCTTGTTAGTTGCACTATGACTCTGCAGTAATGGGTCTCAATTCCAATGTGCAATTCCGAATACATCCAAGCAGCCGAATCGACAAGGCTCAGTTCCACTTCTCCAATTCCTTGCCACAATACCAACATCCAAACAGGCCTGAGGTATTTTGGAGGTGACCACATAAGCAGCATACAAAGCAGAACTCTCAATTACTGCAGTAGACATGTATGAATTCATTTCGCCAAAAAAAAGACATGTATGAATTCTTTTTCCTGGTCTAGGAAAGCCAAAAAGGATCAATTTTCATACGCATCAATAAACTAAATTTATAAGTGGGCAACAAAATCAATCCTAGTGCACGAACCCAGATCTACCCCAAAACAATCTTTTTACTCGTCTACAGATCCACATCAGAAAATATTTATACTCTTATATGCTCCATCCTAATCCAGTTCCAACCAACTGCCAGCCCCAATCTGTAAGAAAAATAGCAACTTTCTTCTAAAACGATCAGAACGACGACGGGGCAAACCCTAAACAGTCCTAAAAATTTTGAGCAAAAGATGACATCCGAGGCTTTAAGCAGGCCAGACGTCGGGGAAGGTGAGGAACAGGGTTGCAGAGGCACAAACTCGTTTTGGCTCGCTGCCGCCGGAGCCACACCGACCGGCACATGGCTTTTCTCTTCGGATTCCCAGCGCTGCTCATCATGGGCTTGAGAGGACGACGTGCGATGCGAAGGCGGCCGAGTAGACGAGATCATCTATGGAAGGCGGAAGTGTGGGATCAGATCGGCGGTGGTGCTCGACTGCTCTACAGGATGAGTTTGGGGGGCTGTCGTTCAGGACCCCTTAGGGGAGCAGATCGACGGGGTTTCTAGAGGATTAACCTCGCGGGGCCAAGAAACCTCGCTAATCCTCCTCGGCCCATTTGTTTCACGGGGTTTGCACAGCCCAACCCCTTCGAGCCCCCTTCGATCCCCTCCTATCCACGCGTCTTGCAAGCCTCGAGGGCACCCGCAGGGAACGAGACAGGCGAGACACACCGAGGCATACCGTCGTCCCGCCGCCACCGAGAGTAGCTCCGCGGCCGGATCTTCATCGCCCCGCCGCCGCCAGGTCGTCGGCGTCCTCCTCCGCCGGTTCTTCTCGAGCGAATCTTCCCCTGTTCTCCACTTCTCCATCCCCTCCCCTGCAAACCCTAGGGCCATGGCCAGGGACACGGCTTCTTCCTCCTCCCATGGAGTGAAGAACTTTCCAGCCCATGGTCTACTGTTCTTGTCCAGCTCGGTTTGGAAGGCCCGTTCGCTACTACTCCTTCCATCCGGAAAAAGTTGTCTCCGCCGAAGTTTTACGAAAAACCCCTTCCCTTTCTTCCGACGGGAGATTGGATCATTTGCCACACTTTATTTTAGGAGTTGATGATTTGCCCTGCTTTAGTTAAAGTTAGATCATTTGCCCCATTTTTCTTCAATCTTTTGATCATTTGCCCCAGTTTCTGTTTTAATGAATTCTTAATTAGTTTAAGTCAGAAAATGGATGTGGAATGGCTTTTATGCCCCTATGACAGTTTTGCAATTTCTCTACCTAATCTTCTCTACTTGATACGACCCCAGCAGATCAATCAATCCATTCACAACTTGTATCCCGTCCTTGTGTTCCTGTGTTAGTTGGAGTTGAAGTTGCCGTGCCATGCCCTGCTCGCCCGAGTCGTTGTAGTCACCTTGGTCACCGGAATCGTCGTTCAGGCCATCACTGATCTGCCTCTTGCTCCAGCTCGAGATTACGCTGCGCCCGTCTCCAGCTCCAGCTCTAGCTCGAGGTCAGCACCGCCGCTGCTCCCGTACACTCCAGCAGCAACTCTGTTGGAATTAACCAAGCGTCCATGTCCGGCTTGGACGTGAAGCTAGCTGCTACGTACATCCTATGTATCCCCTTGTAACCAAATACGGAGTATCAGATCAGACAAATAAGATAATTGGATCGGTGTTCTGTGTTTTCGCGTGAGTGTCCTGTCCGTTCCTCCGCCGGCGGGTCGCATACGTACGTGAGCTACGTGAGTAGCCTCCAAGAAAATCCATCCACCTGCCTAGCTGCTTCAAAACCAGCTTCTACATGACTTGCCCTGCCTATGAAAAGCATCGGTTGAGTCAGCTTTGCATGTAGTGTTTGCCCTTTGCGGCTTTGCCGGAGAGTACACGGCGAGTCGCCGTGTCGGGAACAGCGCCCCTGGTTGCAGCTTGCACCCCGGCCCCCTCCTCTGCTTCCAGCGTACGAGGAGAAGAGAAAACATGACGAACGGTGGTCATAGTTCGACCAGGTAGAGGGGCATAAAGGTCATTCCGCATCAATTTTCTGAATTAAACAAATCAAAAATTCATTAAAACAGAAATTAGGGCAAATGATCAAAAGATTAAAGAAAAATGGGGCAAATGATCTAACTCTAACTAAAGCAGGGCAAATCATCAACTCCCAAAATAAAGTGTGGTAAATGATCCAATCTCCCTTCTTCCGACAAGCCACGCAGCCCATCGCGCCTGCTCCGTCGCCTCGCCACGCGCCGGCGGCCTGCTCCGCTGCCTTGCCGCCTACTCTGCCGCCTCTCCGCCTGCTCCGTCGCCTCGCCACGCGCCGGCCGCCTCCTCCCCTCGTCTCGCCGCTTCTCTTCCTTCGCACCAGGAGATCCAGAGGGAAGGATCCCCTTTTCTGCAAAGCCCGCGACTTCCCGGCTCCGGCGGCGGTGCTCATGTCCTGGAGGGAGTTGGGGCTTGATCTGGAGGCATGGAAGATCCTCGAGCTCCTCGTCCTCGAGCTCCTCATCCACCAGTTCCTCCTCCAGACCCCGAGCGGCTGCTGCGGAATTCGACGGCGTGGGGGAAGACGACCACGGCATGGGGAAGATGAAGACTTGCTCCAGCCACATGCCACTGCCCCGTGCTCATCTTGCCGCTGCCATTTCCCTCCTCGAGCTGGCGGACTGATGATGGAGGACCCGCCCTCTTTGCTGCACCGGCGTCGTTGCTGCCGCATCTGCTCTGCTCCTGCTGCCCGCTCGCCCACGGTAGCGCAGGCCCGTCTTCTAGCTGCTGATTTCTGTCTAGTGAAGCAAGCAGCTGAGCTGGTTTTGTTCTTGTCCTCTTGGACTGTGCAGCGATTGGAGGAGGACTTGGTGCAGAGGAATGGAGTACGAGTACGGATGCTGCTTCCGTTAATCTCAGGTGAGCTTGCTAGACGAGTATAGATGCGCCCTTGATGATTTTAAAACTACTGTTAGCCATGGAATTCCAGAGAGCAACCACACATTGAAACAACAGTGGGCATACAGTATGCTTTGATCTCCAATGTTCAACTACTGTTAGCTTGAGATGAACATACAGTATGCTTGACTGTATAACTACAAATTTGCCTGAACATATGCTTGAGATGAACATGCCACTGTCCAGTAAGATAAGATAAAACCATGACAGTTTTGACTAGGAAGCATGACAATCTCAAACTAATTGAGTAAAAATTCAGTAAACTTGTGTGTCTAGGAATCAAAACCTGAACATCAACTTGACAGATCAAAAGTTCAAAACCTGACAGATCAAAAATAATTGAGTAAAAATTCAGTAAACTTGATAGATCAAAACCTGACAGAAATTGACAGGTTTTGGAAGAAAATGACAGGTTCTGAACATCAACTTGACTGAACAAAGATCTTGACTGAATAATACAGTTAATTCTGATTGTTAACATCAGAATAAGACAGTTAACAGCAGAGTAATGGAGTGAGAAATCTTACTGTAAATTCAGTTACTGTAGTTACCGAAACTTCAAAAGTTAACTGAAATTTTTGTCGACTTGGATTCAGCTACTGCACATGATCACTATTGAACATGATCATATTCTGATTGTACTTGTGTTCAAAAGTTGACTGAAATTTTTGTGAAGTTTTAAACAAAATTATTACTATTGCATCTAGGAATCATTGTTCTGCTGCTATATGTAGTGGTGCTGCTATATGACCATGCTGGAATATGCATTTACATAGACTGACTGATGGCTCAACATATTCTTGACTTTGTTACATATCTTACTGATTCTTCTTGACAGTGTAAATTCAGACATCAACAGTAACAGTTAACTGAACTTCTTTGGAGTGCATTTATCACTCCAGAAAACTTTCAACAAAATATTCTTGCTCAAAGTTAATTGTGATCCTTTCCCCTGTAGTTGGGCTACTTACAGGTTACACATAGGCCTGTCATCCAGTTGGAGTTGAGTTGCTAGATGCAAAATAGACTTTTGACGGCTCTGATTTATGTTAGCCAAATGAGGTACTGTTAATTTTGGATTCACCCAAGGATGGTACTAGCATGGTTTTGCATCAGAGCATCTGAATAATTACAAGAGTTACACTGCATGATTTTGCATCGGAGCAAATGATTTTGCATCATTCTGAAATTCAATTTGAATCAGAGCATCAGAATGATTTTGCATCAGAGCTTCAGACTAAGTGTTCAGAATTTTCCAGCAAACTTTACTCAATTTGAATTTCAATTTCACTTTCAAGTTCAGTACATATCTCTGCATTGTCTGTTTGTACACTTAGCTACACTCAATGCTTAAGCTACAGTCTCTACATTTATCTGTTTGTACACTGAATCAAATTAGATATTCTCTGCATTTGTCTGTTTGTACACTGAATCAAGTTACCATCAAATTTCTCTTACTCCATCAAATTACTCTTGGCTGTAGCTCTCAGACAAAATTAAGCGAATCAGAATTACTCTTGCAAATAAACTTCTCAGACAAGATTAAGCGAATCAGGTCAGGTTGTGCTTCTTCCTGGGTGTACACTGATTATTCCTGATCCACTCAATTCAGTGCTCAAATGATCTGAGTTTAACAAGCATCAATTGAACACACTGCTCAATTTCCTCATCCATTGCTCAATTTCACTTGAATGATACACTTTGCAGCAGAGGCAGCAAAGGAGGCGGGAGGAAGTCATGGAGTAGTACCAGCAGAGGCAGAAGAGGAGGCGGGAAGAAGTCGAGGCCAATTGATTAGAAGCAGAGGCAACAACAGAGGTGGGAGGCGGCACTCGTCCTGCGAGCAGGTGGGTGGCGGCGGCCAGAGGAAGCGCACCGGCCAGAGCAAGCGCACCAGCGGGAGCTCGGGGCGCGACTCCTGTACGCCGTCTTTTCAACGGGTGGCATCACCTGTGCCGCACTGAGGAGAGATGGAGGCCGGCGCCGGCATAGGAGATGGAAGCCGGCAGTGGGGGCTTCGGCGAGGCGGTGGAGGCCATACACATTATGCAGGGGTGATGCAGGTGAGCGGCGGCGACGCAGGTGGGCGGAGGCGGCGCAGGTGGGCGGAGGCGGCGCAGGTGCGGAGGCGGTGCAGGTGGGCGGCGACGCTAGCCCTGCGAGCTGGGCCGGCACTAGCGCGCGAGGCCTGACGGCGGCTCCGCTTGGGAAAGATTTCGACGGTGCCGACTGGGAAGAAGGAAGGTGGAGGCGGGGTGATTTGCACGAGAATTAAATCTCTGAGGGGTTTTTTTGCAAAAAAAAGTTGAACTATGGCTGGACAACTTTTTCCGGACGGAGGGAGTAGATGCTGCAATTCTTCGGTTTGGAGCAGATTTAGATGATAGAACTGCTTTACTAAATTTTTGAATGGTTGCCAATGCTTCGTTGGCACATTGGTTGAAAGAACAAAACTGTGAATGATGGTGTTGGATGAGTGATGATCTGACTGTTTGTTTTTCTGCTCTTCTGAACCAAACAGTGCCATGGGACTGGCCATTTGTAATGATGTTAGGCTTCAGGTCTCTCAAACTTCTTTGGTTGACTGAAATAGTTCAGAAGGCAGTGTTCCGTAGGTTGCATTATGTGCATTTTCATTGTAGAAGCTAGCCTCACAGTAGACCTTATACAAGTTAGTGTTAATGGTACAGTAGTGAATTTAAACTAGCTTTTGATCACCTGGATAAGTCAAGGAGAGGTGGGCATTTGAATATGTGCCAACTATTCTGTTTCATGTCTTTTTTTAATGGCAAAACTAACTTTCTTTACTTGCTATAGCTCACAATCCCTGCCAACCAAACAAGTTTTTCATATGAAGGGGATTTGTGGCCGGAGAGGTTTGAGGGTTTCAAGAGGTTTCAAGGGGATTGGGTGGAAGGAAGGGATTCACCAAATCCTCTGAAATCCCCCCCTCCCCAATCCACTTCTACCAAACAAAGCCTTAGAATTTCCAATGAGCGAGGTCAAGCCTCCCAATTTATTAATGGGGTTGTATGCGATTTGGCCAAAATCTGTCTTCAAAGGGGCTTCTCAATTGCGAGAAAGGGTGTCCGCCAGACGGACCGCAACTCTCAGGGCCTGCATCAAAACGCAGGCAACTTAAACCGGTCAACCAAAAAGACAAAAGATTTGTCCGCCTTTTATTTGTTTGGATTGGATGATTATGTCCATGTCCGTCCTTCACCTATCCCAAAACACAATGGGGACACTCATTTAGGGCGTGTTCGGAGACCCTCCGCTCAGCGAGGCCATTTCCGGAGCAGGCGGAGTTTCAGTTAAAAATCACGGAGCGCGCATGTAGGTACTTCATAGATTCTGAAATTTCAGGGAGCAGGTGGATTGCCGAACAGGAAATCTGCATTGTCTGTTTTTATCAATGATCAAGTTTTGACATATTTTTATCAAACATAGCAAATATATATTTAGCAAAATAAATATCGCACTTTTTACATAGTACCATATGCCAGCCAGCATACGGCATTGCACCAAAAGAATTGAACGAGCCCTGCACGTGCTTAAGCTTTATAGTTCATGAAAAACAAACAAATATAAGATGATTACGCATCTTAGTTGATCATGAACTTTTGCTTCCTTTCAAACCAAGTCTTTTTTTAGTCATATTGCTTACGCCAGCCCCATAATCTCCACTTTCTTGGAGAATGTTCGCACACGAACACGTCATCATGTACCCTCGATGACGGGGTGATGCACCGCAGCGCACGTCGAAGGAGACCCGGCCTGAAGCGCGGTACGCAAGCAATCCGGCGGGCAATTTTATAGACCCGAAATCCCACACGCCCGGAAGGGACCCCGTCAGGTGCGCGACGGCTATGGGCTGCCCTAGGTCGGTCTGACCGCCCCTAGGGCCTCGAGGTTCGCCGCCCTGCAATGAAGAAGAACGAACGAAGAACGAGGAAGAAGAATAACAAAAGGAGAGGATAAAAGTAAAGGTAAAAAGTGATAGATGAATTGATCGATTGTGTGTTGTTCAATCGGCCGTCATCCTTTAGGTATATAAGAGGCGGATGGACTTCCCGTACAAGAAAAGAACTCTAAGTCACGTCCAAATCTTTCCAAAATTAACCGAACTCGGATTTAGATAAGTCTGGAACATTAGTTCGGTTTTTAGGTCCCACATGCCACAAACAACCTCAGATGAAGATGAGCCCAAAAGCAGATTTGACCGTTTCAATGAGACGAACAACTTTCGTGCTGAACATTTTTCGATTCAAGACCATATTCACGGCTGAATCGCTCGTGCAAAATAGACTGTTACTCGCGCTACCCATCAGACACCGTGTCTGATGGGGCGCGCCACTTTTGCCCCGTGACAGGACCGTACTCAGGTGGCTATAACTTTTACATACGATCTTAGATTGATATGATTTTTATATCAAAATCGATTGTTTCGACGAGATAAACACAATTCATGTAGACCAGTTTTCCATATGAGGCCGTCTCGAGGGGCGTCAGCCGAACAGTGTTCTGGACACAAAATCTCAGTATTTCAAACACAACTTCGGCCTTCAAAATGAGATCGGATGGCTATGGCCCAAATATCAAAGTTTCTCTTTTTGACGATACAGAACTCTCTCACTTTGAGCACTTTTTCATTTGAGGCCTTCTTAATTATGTTTTTGACTATGCCAAAATCTGGTGTCAACACATGACCCCCTGTTTTTCGGTAAAACTTGTGTGCCGGAAAATAACTTGCATGAAGTTTGTTCTAAGCGC